CACACACACACACACACACACACATACATCTGACCTTAATGTTGACCCAGTTCAGGCCTGTTGGGACATGGCCTCAGGTGTGTTGGTTTGCTCCTGCCTCCTGCTGGCCTTTAACTGTCAGATAAATGCAGCCGATGATTCAGAAATCAACCCATCAAAGGCTGAAAAATCACAACGATTATAGAGAACTTAGTGTTTGTTGCACAGTGAGCCCAGACTTCCACTTAACTCACTTTTAAATTTTCTAATTTTATTTCTGTGGGACATTTTTCAAGTTGTATGCTTTTTCTAAACGATCAAACAAATGTATTGTTTTGTGGTTTAAAGCAGGGGTTCTTAACCTTGGTGGTGTTGGTGCAGCTGTAGCTTGAACTTGTTTAACTCGTATTTCCTCTTTATCTGCTTTGCATTCGTTGCCTGTTTTGCAGAACAGGATATTACTTTTGTCGAACAAACATCAGCTTTTTAAATCGTCTAGATTAGAAGTTTCTAATCTTTGCACAATTCAACAAAACTTTGATTACATCGTTTTTGTGTTTTGTTATTTCTTCTGTTCTGGACATGCAGTTTATTTTTTCTGTTAAAAACATCCTGAGTGTTTCTGTCCTGATGGCTCTGTTTGTTTATCCTGTTTGCAGAAAGAGCTGTCGGGCCACAAGAACGTCGTCCGCTACCTGGACTCTACGATCAGTTCGGTTTCAGACAGCGTTTGGGAAGTCCTGATCCTCATGGAGTACTGCAAAGGTACACTTTTTAAATTTCTTACTGCTGCTCGTGTGGTTAGAAACACCCCCCAAGTGTCTCAAGGACTCCTGACGATGATCACAAGCTGCATGAGTGGCCTGGCCTGAAACCATAAAACAGAACTAAAATAAGGAAGAGCTGTTGGGCAAAACATTTATAAAAACTTCCCAAAACGATTTCTGCAGTTTAAGAGGTTTTTTGATTACATTTGGATATAAAATAACCTGATTTTGTGTCAGATGTTCAGTTTTTCTGTGTGGCAGGCAGCTAGATGTCCTGTTGAGTTATTTTTAATATGATGATGATATTAATTTGGTTTATTGTTAATCCTACGACAAGCAAAACTGTGAAAAAATATCTTGTATAGTTTTTGATTATGTTATAGTGACCTGCCATACATTAATTATACACAACAGCCTACCATATATTTAAATTACGACAGCCAACCCTACCCTGGTAGTTATTATACAACAGCCTACCAAATCTTTTTTGATTACATGATAAAATTGCCTGCTGTATTTTTTGATTATATGATAATGGTCTACCATACTTGGGTAATTGTATGATACAACGCAATCCTATACATATTTAATTATGATGCAACAGCTTGCCATATAATTAAATTATGACATAACAGCCTACCATACATTGTAAGTTATATGATACAAAGGCCTGCCATATATATATATATATCATGATTACATGATAAAATTGCCTGCCATACTTGTTTTGTTAATATGATAATGACCAACCATACTTTGGTAATTATATGATACAGCAGAATGCTATACACATTTAACATTTGATATAACAGCCTACCACATTTTTTATGTGTATACAACGGTCTGCCACATAATTAAATTATGACACAACAACCTACCATACCTTGCTAGTTATGATACAAAGGCCTGCCATATTTTTTTTGATTACAAGATAAAATTGCCTGTCATATTTTTTGACTGTATAACAGCCTGCCATACTTAAATTATGATACAACATAATGCTATAACATATTTAATAGGGGTGCAACGATACAGAAAATTCACGATTCGGTTCAATACTTTAGTCTCACGGTTCAATATTTTTTGATGCAAATAAGAGAAGTTTCCATGCCCTTTTTAACTTATAATTTCTTAAAATTAATTATGAACATTTGTTTAACCTCAAAAGTMCAGTTTTTAAATTAAATGTTGCTGAAACAGCAAGTTTCTCAGTGGATTTGCACTCAAAAATGCAGCCTAGGTGGAGTAGTCGAACACAGATCCACTGATCCTTCAACACAGAGCATCTTCAGAAGACAAGTTGATAAAATAAATTTTTAAAATCTGTATTGTTTGATACAAGGGTGTACTGAACGGTTCGATATGGGTACATGTATTGTTGCACTCCTAATATTTAATTATGTGCCACAATGACCTACCATAACTTTTTAATTATGATAAAATAATTTTTTACAATTTTTTTCCATCAGTTACAAATCTTTTTTGTTCAGTTTCAAAAATTATTTTTTTTAACAAGTTTTATATTTGTTTTAGCTCCATGTCCTTGGTCCTAAAACTTCAGTGTTTTCTTATTACTTGTATAGTTTTTAGGTTTGTCACTCCAGCTTTTATTTGATTGACATTCTTCTTTGTTGTAAACGTGTCGTGATGATTCTCTGCCTTCATTGATCTCTGGTTCTTAATGTTTTGTTTTTAAAGACTGTTTTAGTCAGTTCGACCCTCATCAGACGAGTTGACCTGCGAACGTTTCTCTGAGTGTTGAAGCTCTTTGTTTCTTCAGCGGGTCAGGTGGTGAAGCAGATGAACCAGAGGTTAAACGTGGGCTTCAGCGAGGCCGAGGTCCTCCACATCTTCTGTGACACCTGCGAGGCCGTGGCTCGGCTGCATCAATGCAAGACGCCCATCATCCACAGAGACCTGAAGGTCAGGAGGACACGTCTTCTCTAACCAGTGGTTCCCAAACTTTTTATCTTCTGACCCACAAAATATCCATGGCAAAAACTTGTGATCCCAAATATTACTGGTCTGAGTACATGAATTTCGTTAATAAACCTAAAAACACAGGCTTTTTGACAATCTAAGCATCTTATACACAAATATAAATACTTATTTATACTTATTTTGTGTTTTGTAATAATTATAGGGAAAATATTACATCAGCAATTATTTTATAACCCTTTAAACTGATTTCTGGAGATTATCCAAGGTGCTTCATGACCCATAATTGGGTCCCAAGCCCAACTTTGGGAACCAAAGTGCAGTGGTTCCCAAACTTTTCAGCTTTTGACCCACAAAATAACAGTAGCAGAGACCTGTGGCCCCAACTGTTTCTGGATGATAAACATTTGTATCAGGTCAACTAAACATGGGCATAGTAACAATATTTTTTATATTACATTTATCCATTTTAAATATACTAACCTCACTCCTTTGTAACAACTAAAGTAAAAATGTAATTAATTCAGAAAATCTTTTCAGGACCCCACCTTGATGTTTCGGGACCCCAACTTTGGGAAACACTGCTCTAACCTGTCTCCAGCTTCATCACTGCACAGTAGCTTTTAGGACAGATTCTCTGTTTGGAAACAGGCTCAATGCCAGCGCTCATGGTCATTTCCCACCCTGGTTGAACTCTCCTCAGCCCCACTCAGTGGGCCGCTGTACCGGGTCCATTTGGACGAAACAACGCCGGTCCTTTCCATCAGCTCCACAGGCCTGTCCTCTGTCCGTTCAGTCTACACGGCTTACGTAACGTTTCAGGGACACAAAAGACCGAGGAGGCCCAGTCACGCATCGCCAGGGGAAGTGAGAGTGCAAAAAGAAAAGGCCTTAACCCCGAGCTGTCAACAGACTGAGACACTGCCGCTCACTGAACGGGTTTCCTCTGCAGCTTCTGTTGAAACATTTATGGCTTTATTTACCTCAAATATCTCTGAATTTACAAACTTTGACTCTACTTCTAATCCAGTAAATTAAAGTCTCACACCCTTTATAAATGTTAAGTTACAAAACCTAAATGAAACCTAAGATGCGTGAAGATAATTTTATTTAAAGGTTTAACAGTCTGTGAAGGAATGCATGTTGCCCGCCTGTTTAAAAAAAAAATCCTCTTTAAATGGAGTTAATCAGTTTGGTTTAATCTTAAAAATAATCTGACTTCATTCAGGGTTTCCCCTTTACCCGTGGTGGTGGCCTCACATGCTTTAGTAAAACTTCCTCATCCTCTTCTTTGAAAAAGAGACCAAAAATCAACATCCATAAGCTTTCTGCTTACAGGTCAAACATTTTAATTTAAACAGTTTATATCAGGAGTGTCAAACTCATTTTCACCGAGGGCCACATGAGCTTTATGGTGGCCCTCGAAGGGCCACTTGTAGTGAAAGTTTCATGTTTTACTTTAACTAAACAGTTTTAACTCGTCCTCTTTTAAACACTGATAAGAACTAATATGACTGACTAACTCTGTAATAAATACAGAAATATTATTAAAAGTAAAACTTTGTTTTACTCACTGAGTTTCTAGTGAGAAGCAGCATTATGTCAGATTTACTTTATGTTTGATGACTTTAAAGCAGCTTATTTTCAGACATTAGTACTGAGCTATCCAACTAAACTGCTCAGTTACTTC